TTTTTAATCCGCAGCCATTTGTTCAGCTTTCACACGTATTTCGAGACTTTGCATTGCATCTCATGTCATACGACCTCACAACGCAACAGCTGCGGCAGAAGCATTGGTCCAACTCTACGCCCAAAAAGGGCATGACCTGCAAGCGTGCAGGCGGTTTTTGAAAAAAGTTTGTTTTTTCCACTGCTCTGTACCCGCGCCGAGTTCGGCTTGTTGTGTGTGTGTCACACCCTGTTTCTAAGGGTTTTGCAACGTTTATCCAACTTTTCAAGCCAGCAGGGGGTCGCTGGGGATTCGTGCAGTCAGCGACCAACGAAGACGCTGCACGTTTCCTGTGATATGAGTTGAGGACGCTCGACTCACGTACCTGCGACAGTTTTGAACTTTTGCCCACGCTGTTCCAATCTCTCCTGTTTGCTTCCATGGTGGTTCCATGATACCTCCCCGAAACCTTCTTTCTTCAGCTACGTTTTCGACAGCCACTTTCAGCAGCCACGCGTTTTCTGCAGTCACGTGCAAACAATGTTGAACAATACTTTTCCACGGACTTCGCCACCTTTCCGTTCCATCACCATTTTTCCTGGAAATTGAGTTAACTGAAAACCAATGTCAGAGTGTGTGCCCCACTCCGTGTCCAGGAGTTTATTTCCTTTTTCAAGCAACAAGCAGGGGGTCAACGACCGGTCTTCCTACGTTGCCCAACGAAGCTATGGAAGACTGGTGGAAGCATCCCTAATTCAGGGACGCATGAATGTGTACTTACTTGCGGATGACAACACCCTCCTTTTTGCTGCTGTTTTTTGTTTTTCATGGTGGTTCTCATGATACCTTCCCCCACACCATGCGGCTGTGCAGCTGCTTTGCATAGGTCTCACGCGTGTTTTCTGCAGTCAAGTGAAAACTTTTTTCAACCATCTCCACCTCCGCCGACTCCGCCACCTTTCCGTTGCAACGTTCCTTTCACTGTGGATTATGACATTGGATGAAACCTTATCGAAGTGTGTGTTTTTGCTGTGTGTGACGTGTGGCGAGCTATCCCAACACGTCGACATCATCTTAGGTCAACAAAATCCTTACAGAGTCGGCAACGGGGCATGGCGGAAGAGGGTCAGAGGTGCGCCGTGGTCAAGCGGGGCGCAGCTCTCACGTGGGAGTGCTGTGCCCTTGTCATTCTCAACAGTTGGAGGTCCAAACACACAGTGCAGTTTCCAAAAGTAGTTATTTGGAGGAAGGCAACTCTTGGAAAGGAGATCAATATTTGTATAGTCGGTTTAATGCTATTTACAGCACATACATGTATTTGCTGTAGGACTGGCCGCAAATGGTTTCAAAACCATTTGGCGACAGGTCTTCCAGGGTGTCCTTTGACACTGCCTCTCTGATGTCTGAGCGTGTGGACGCAGAAATCTCTAAGAGGCAAGGTGTCTCTTTTGAGGTGGTGGGCAACATCAAGCGCATGTTTCTGACATTGTCTACCCAAATTGAATATGTTGGAGTTACATTAAGCTGAGGCACTGGAGCTTTGAGAGTGAACATTGGAAGCCGATGAACTGCTTATCTCTTTAAGTCGCTTTATGAAACAGAGCTTTATCAGGTATGACATTGACATGCGGGAGATTGGCATCGGCGGGTATGGCAAGGCTCATATGAGATTTCAAAGGAAAAAAAACAGGAGCGCAGCTACTGTAAGTGCTTCTCCTTGTGGACGGGTTCTTGTTTTTGGGGGTGCGGGCGAACTCTGTAATGCATTTGGACGAAAGTGACCAACCAGCAGGGTGAGTTGGGCCGGGGCGCAGCTTCGAACTATCAATTTGTTTACAGAATACGGCAGCCCTGGCAGCCCCCTTCCTTCCAACCAACCTCTCATTCAAAGGCACAACATGTAAGCCTAAGCTATTGCAGAAAGTCGTGCTTCTTGTTAGGTTCCAGCAAGTTTGCACCTGGTTTGTGTTCGCCAGACGGAGCAAGAGCAAGCCTGGCCGCCAGGTCTTTCTGGCGAAAGATCGGATGTTCAAAGATCGGCAGGTCGCAATCAAGAAGGCCAGAGTGCTGAGCTGCGTGTATCGAATTGGGTGGGACAGATTGGAAAAGATCTGTCCAATCTCTTCAAAAAGAATTGGCAAGAAGTGCTTGGGTGCTCGTGTGGCACATGGTCAGCTGACATGTGAGTCAAGCTGTTGAGCTCAAAATCATGTAGAGGCAGCTCCTTTTGGATGTCCCGAATGTCTCAAAACACCCAGTAGAACGATAGGGGACTCACTAAATCGGGGAGATGAGCCCATGTAAATAGTTTTGACCGTGGCTCATGTCAAATCTGGAGTTTGGATTTGCAGGTGACGAAGATCGACGAAGAAAGAGATTCTGCCTTCAAGAAAGAGGTGAAAAGACGGTGATGTCGTTTTTCTTTTCCCAATGTTGCTGGCAATGGAGAGTGCTTCTGCATGGCTGCCAGTAACTTAGCCTTCTTTTGGTGGCCAACAAGAGACATATGAAAACTGCAAGAGGGAAAGGCATAGAATCATAAAAGGAACCAAGAATATTGGAAGCACTTCCATTATTTTTAACATCCTGCGGCTGGTTGTTGCAAAAGACACACACAAACATACTTGGGCACATGTCCGTGTGGTTCCACAAAAATGTACATTTGATGCTCAAGCCTTGAAGAAGTCAAGACGGTAATTTGTGCAGAGATTCCTCCCTCGCCAAGAGCTGTATGTCTACAATTGTCATGACTCCCCGTTGCGCAGAACCAAAAAAGTATGACCCCAATCCTGTGGCTCCAGAGGATCAGGCCAAACATGACCTTCTGGCTCCTTCACTTGCAAGTTTGAGAGCTCAGGAAGCCCATCTCACTCGACCTTGGGACGCCGCACGATCGCAATGCGAGTGCCCTGAGGTCCCATTTCAACCGGCTCAGACACGTGAGATTGTCACAGCCGTGGATGACTGGTTCGAGATCGGTGCTCTATTCGGCTGCTTCAAGTGCAGAGACAAGAATTGAGGCACTGCGTGGCACTGCGACAAATCACACCGACCACACTACACCAGCGTTGGGAAGGAAGTGGACAAGGGTTCCTGGCTCAAGACCAACGTGCTTGCAGCACCAGGGCCCACAATGCAATCGCCTCAAACTCATCTCAGAAGGCATTGCGTTTTTGGTTCATTTTTGCTTGATTTATGTCCATGTGCTTCAACATTTTGCTTCGGTGACTCCTGTACAGAAGTTCGGCCAATTGCAAGGGCAGTTTGCCAGCACCTTTCACATGACAGAGTGGACGTAGCTTCAACTGCCACGGGGCAGTTCTTGTGATGGATGCTGAAAAAGATGCTGCGGGGACTCGGGCAGATTTGCTGTTTGCAAGTTGGTGTATACTGGAGAAGGTCCCTTTCGGACCTCCAGGTGCTCATCATGAAGAAGCTTGATCATCCCAATATTTGCCGTCTTTTCGAGACTTACGAGCAGGCACTGAATTTCGGAGTGGTGTTTAAGCACTTGGCTAGACAGGTTTCATGGTCTCTTCACGCAGCTGAGTTGCCTTTCCTCGTAGCAAGTTAGAGGAAAGGACTTGACTTGACTAGGCTTGAACTTTGGGTGCTTAAGCGGTGGTGCTGTTCAATGGATTTGAATGGGTTTAAGTAATTACCTTGAATCAACATGAATCAACGTGCTCTCGTTTGTCTTTCATGTTGGACCTTTGTTCCACCAGAAACTTCAGTTTCGCTGTCTCACGTCAGACTGTCTCAGGTCTCATTCTGACTGACTGCCTTGGCCATACAACCCCATCACTGCCCTACCAACATGGTCAATGGTTCGTCGCACCATTGTTCATCATGAAAACGACGTCGTTTCAGCTAGAACAGAAGACCACTCTATTGAGGGCAGATCTGAAATTCACAGGAAAAGAACCACCCCGAGAGAGAGAGAGAGAGAGAGACGGTATGGCTGTTCTTTGAGCTTTTGGCAGATATTTTTTGGTGGTTCTTGTGCACAGGTGCAAGGGAAGTTGCCAGGTTCACCATGGTGCGTTTGTTGCGTTGTTACTCAAAGTGATGTTATTGATTTCTTGTCCCCGTTCCTTGCATTTCATCCTATATGGCCCGCCGCTTAGCTCACTTTGCACTGGTTCCCCCCCAGACTGTACTCGTTAAGAGGCCCTGAATTGTGAGAGGTTTGGTAGCAACTCCGCCTGGGTTGATGTTGATGTGCCGTGATTCATGCCTCAGAAATCTTCAATCCCAGACGCCTGCCTGTGGACCAATGGGATGCTGAGACACACCCACACCAACCCCCCCAGCCTTTCGCCCCAATTCTTTGGAACAACAGTCAGACAGAGAGAGAGAGGGAGAGAGTGTGCAAGAGAATGCAAGAGAGCTTCGGGGGATTGCCTTGGTAGTTTGGTATTGAAGCGCAGCAAGGTGCATGTGTGACTAACGCGATTTGAGCAGATTGCCGAATGCTTGGATCAGATTGGTCTAGCTTGCACATGGCGCCCTTGATTAACTAGTCCATTAACGGTCTTAGGCACGAATAAAACAGTAGCAACGGTTGCATATGTTTGGGGCAGGATAGGTACTTTTGATTATGTGTGTTATTCATTATTGACTTTGTGTGTGTGTATGAGTGTGTCATCCGTTTGTCCATCCAATCATCGAGATTTGGACTGGGAAGACTGCATCTCTTTCCTGCGCCCGTGAGAAAATCACTTGTCCTAGCATACATTGTAATTTGTGGATGTCATGCATTGTCACGTCCAGTTCTCCATGGTGATCATTTAGTCCATTTCCGTTGCAGGGTCGTGTGATGTACTTTGTCATTGAGTTCTGTGAAGGTGGAGATCTTTTCGACAGGCACTTTACGGCAACTGATGGTCCAGAGTGGATTCCAGGTCATCACTTTTTATCTTTGTATATATATATAGATTTCTGAGTGATCTTGCTCGCTAATCACTAGTCACTATCGGGTGTTCTCGACCACTCGCGGCTCGCCAGGTACTCGAACCATGGGAAGCTACCAGAAACCACAGTGGCTCCCATCATCAAGCAGGTGGAAGATTCACACTGATTTGCAAAGCTCACAGTCCATCACATTCCAACCATCAGTTGCCTAGAACATCTCGGCGCAGGCTTTTCAGTGTCCGGCGGAATCAACATCGGTGTGTTGGATTTCTGATTGACTGTCCTTAATAACTCTACTGTGCGAGGTGGCAAGTGCCTTGAAGTACGCCCACTTGAAGGGCATTGCACACCGTGTAGGGCACCCGGCCTGGCTTGGCTTACGCAACATGATTGCGCACCCTTGTTTGTGCAGCGACTTTCAGGGTTTCACACCAAGGGGTTCAGCAGCCTGTGACCATGGCTCATTGGCAACAGTGTTTGCACATCAAGGGAAGAACAGTGCCAGGACTGATGCTAGAAGTGAACCTTACCAATGTGCAAGCATAATTGCAAACTCCAAACTACTACTCATTGCCTGTTCCTTAGAACAACACCGCAACATCATGCACAGGTGCACGGTGCAAGGATTGTTTATTCACGTTTGTTTTCATGTTAATCTCAGCCTTTGTCCTACGGCCTCCACGCCACGTTGTGCCATGTCGAAGACAGCAACTTGGGACTCGGACGACGCGATGGATTCGGATGACAGCGACCTCAAAGAGCTGTACGGCCACAATGGTGTGCTTTTGACTGCGGGCATCATTGCGGCAGATGTGATTGGTGCCGGCATCCTAGCCATGCCAGCTGCCATGGCAAACCTTGGACTCTATGCAGGTGCGTTGCAGACTGAAAGGTCTTGATGGCTTTCGACAACATGGGGGGGGGGATATTGTTGATCTATTTTCTAAAGTAAGCTTTGGCGGGTCAACATCCCGTCCCTAGAAGATTTGGGACAAAGACAGGTACTGCAGCCCTCATTGCACTTTTGCTTGCGAATGTGCACGTGTCCATGGTTATGTGGAGGGTTCGAATGAATTGCCCGACGTGTGTGGGCGCCACCACCTACACTGCATTAGTGCAGGGAGCTTTTGCAAAAGCCCCAGCCTGGCAACAAGAGATAATGATTCACCTGACGAGCTTTTCTCAGAAATCCTTCCTTTTTGGCATGATGGTTCTTTACCTTTTGAGTGCTGGGAAGGGCTTTGGCATGATCTTCCACCATGTCCATGTTTGCCTTCCGAACTGGATGATCTATGCCGCTTTCTTGCTGTTTCCCTTTGCCGCCAGTGCCCGGCATTTGGGCTCTTGGCAATCCTTAGTTTGGATCAACGTGGTTTCTTTGATGGGCACGGTGCTCATCCCCTTATGCTTCTATGCCCTTAATGGCACTGAGAAGATCCGAGTGCCCGGAAGTCATGTGGAAGCCGTCAGCGAGCTGTCGCCGCGACAAATTTTGAGCAGCTTATCCACCTTTTTCTTTGGGATGCATGGAGTGTAAAGCAATTTTTGCTGGTGGAGGGTCCAGCATGAGCCATGACCACCCTATGGGAGTTTTTGGAACATGTTGCTCATGATTCATGCCGTTCTTTGTGTAGTGCAGCCGCAGTGAAACTCTCGCGGGCGTTTGGATATGTACAAGCACAATTTCTAGGTGATGGTTTCAGATATTTTTAATTTCAACCCTTACTTGGGGATGATTGGACTAAAAATTTTCAAGTGGGTTGAAAACACCAACCAGGTTTGCTTTTAGACACATGCTGGGAATTTATACACATAGAGACTGACGAAGCTGACAACATAATGTTATATATGTAACTAGAGAGCCAACCACATGTGTATCATTATGCTCATTTGTTGGTGTTGCACGTGCTACAGCGACAATATGTTTTAATTCCCTTCAAAGGGCCCTTCTTTGTAAGGCAGACACTTGCCAAGTGTGTGTGTGTGTGTGTTTGATATTGTGCAGACCTTGCGAACCGAAAACGGGCTCGCGATCTCAGGATGACTTCCCAGTTCATGCTGTTGGAGATCATCGCCGAGATGAAAGATCCAATGGAATTGCCCAAGGCCTATGCTGGCTACTTTGCCCCATTCCAGCTGGTGATGTTTTCATTGGCAGGCATTGCAGGCTATTGGTACATGGGCAACAAGGTGGGCGGGATGATGAATGAGAACTTGCCGTTCGGCCCTTCTCTACAAGCTGCTGCAGGATGGGCCCGCGAAAACCGCTGGGCCTAGCTTCAGGAGTGTTGTGATTTGATATGATTTGATGATCCAATTTAATGATAATGTTTAAAGCAAGACTAGTAAGTGACTAGTAACAAGAAGCTACTAGGGTGGAGGCCATCGCTACTTGTAACAAGAAACTACTATGAAACTCCCGACCCGTTTGCCAGGCTGCATGCTCGTTCACATGCTCATCTCGTACTTGATCAAAGGAGTGGTGGTGTGCAAGTCAATCCACCGAGCAGTGGACAAAAGATATGCTCACGGGAGCGACACCCGTCCAAGATCTTGGATGGCTTCTTGATTATTGCTAGTAACAAGGGCATCGCTAGTAGTAGCTTCTTGCTGCTAGTAGTAGTGCACTTGTTACTAGTAGCGATGCATTTGTTCCTTATTTGATGCAGCAAACTGCAGCCTTAACATTGGATCCAACACTTTGACACGTAAACACAGCTTTGTTCTCTGAAGAATGTCAAGTTAGTCAGCTGGCAGGAAAGAATAACTTCTTCATGTTGGATGATGTTTGGGGTGTGTGGTTCCCTGTTTCACACTGTTTCACCATTTCAGCAGTTGACATGTTCGCAATCAGCCTGAAGGCGTTGATGACACCATGAAAAATTGGTGAAACCTGGCCGGAAAAGGCGTAGGTGCCAACTCGTGCGCCTTTCTACAGACCATTTGTTGGAGGGTTTCTTTGCTGAACCTGGAACTAAGGTTTGGGTCTTCATCGTTGCTTTCATGCTTTTGCTCTCGTGGTTTTCAGCAAACTTGGTGCCGTTTTTCGGAGCAGCGGTGGATTTCCTGGGCGCCAGTGTCACACCGATCTCTTGTTGGTTAATACCATTGCTTTTGTACATGAGGCCAGGACGGACCAGGGTCGCATTGACAGGTGCGGCAAGTCCTGCGGATTCAATCATAGCATAGCTGTGAACAATTTTCTGAAGCAAGAGATCTACTAATGGATTCAATTTATATATGTCGATTCGTTCCCAAAGGATTCAAGTCGAGCAAATATCTTTTGAGCGACTTGAGGATGTGCTGGGACTTCCCTGAAGAGGCTGAGAAGTCATGGACACTAGAAGCCTGGTTGAGAGACCCCTGAGGCATTTGAGATCCATCGATGGTTTATGCGTCACAGTGACCACTTTCAAGCAAAAGATGATAAAGGATGCCCTCCACACAGCATGAGCCTTACCCAAACCCTCCTCAAGCACAACTTGTCCTTCCTTTGTTCAGCAGGTGTTTTCTTTGGGGCCAGTGGGAGTGTGTGTGTGTGTGATTATTTACAGACACATGCTCATGTGTTTGCATGTGTTCATTTCAATCACTCTTCTTCCCTACATCTTAGTGTGGGGTTCTTCTTTTCTATGTCTCATCCGCCGCCCGCCGCCCGCTTCCCGCCGCCTCCCTCCACACCGAGACAACAACACACACCGAGACAACACACACAGAGATCATCCTCCCTCCACACCGAGACAACACGTACAGAGACCACACACCGAGACAACACACACAGAGACAACACACACCGAGACGACACAGACAGAGATCATGTGCAGATTGCGTGGCAGGCGCAGCACTTTGTGACAAAACACGCCGAGACGTCACCAGAATTCGTGGCAGGCGCAGCACTTTGTGAACCTGCATGCTCCGTTAGAGGCTGTGGGTGTTGCGTTGTCTGCGGTTGTCGGCGGTCCGTTCCTCCATTGTGATTAGAGTATTCACTTGTTTGTTGATGTGCAGAATTCGTGGCAGGCGCACCACTTTGTGAACCTCCACGCGCAGAATTCGTGGCAGGCGCAGCACTTTGTGAACCTCCATGTGCAGAATTCGTGGCAGGCGCAGCACTTTGTGAACCTCCACGCGCAGAATTCGTGGCAGGCGCAGCACTTTGTGAACCTCCATGTGCAGAATTCGTGGCAGGCGCAGCACTTTGTGAACCTCCATGCTCCGTTAGAGGCTCTGGCTGTAGCACTTTGTGAACCTCCATGTGCAGATTTCGTGGCAGGCACAGCACTTTGTGAACCTCCATGTGCAGAATTCGTGGCAGGCGCAGCACTTTGTCTGCGGTTGTTTGCGGCTGTCGGCGGTGGTCGCCGGTCCGCCCCTCCATTGTGATTAGAGTATTCACTTGTTTCTTGACGAGCAGAATTCGTGGCAGGCGCAGCACTTTGTGAACCTCCACGTGCAGCAGCACTTTGTGAACCTCCATGGTCCGTTAGAGGCTGTGTTGCGTTGTCTGCGGTGGTCGCCGGTCCGTCCCTCCATTGTGATTAGAGTATTCACTTGTTTGTTGACGTGCAGAATTCGTGGCAGGCGCAGCACTTTGTGAACCTCCATGTGCAGAATTCGTGGCAGGCGCAGCACTTTGTGAACCTCCATGCTCCGTTAGAGGCTCTGGCTGTTGCGTTGTCTGCGGTTGTCTGCGGTGGTCGCCAGTCCGTCCCTCCATTGTGATTAGAGTATTCACTTGTTTCTTGACGCGCAGAATTCGTAGCCGGCACAGCACTTTGTGAACCTCCATGTGCAGATTGCACTCCGTCAGAACCTCCATGTGCAGATTGCACTCCGTCAGATTGCACTCCGATTTTGTGCAGGCACAACGCAGATTGCATGTAATACTCATGACGACGCCCAGGTTCACGAACACGCCCTGCTTTCGTCTGCGCGATGAAAAAGAGCTTGGCTATAGGGTTTTACGTCGGCAGAGCGATGGGGTTTTACTTCGGCTAGTTGTTTCTGTACACACATGTCTGCACAATACCTCGTACATCCGCCGTGCACATTACTCTCCCACACCTCTCTCCCACCCCTCTGTTGTGTAATTCTGATATAATTCCTGACAAGGCCATGTTGTAGAAGCTATTGAGACTCTGACTGCTTTGTGCTTTAGAAACTTGCAATCTGTCACGTAGTGATGATGTATTTTGACAAATAGAAACAGGGAGGAACGATGTGACGCACGGTCGAATCCACGTGCCATTTTGGCTCCAAGTAAGGGGCCCCCCCCCGCACTCTGTTGTTTTTCAGCCATGGAGCTGGATGATGCGATGGCCCCCGAGCCAGGGGGAGGTAGTGCGGGGGGGGCCCATTGTGGTGACGGACGACGAGGGCACGCCAATGGAATGGAGGTCACGCAGGTGGATGCCACCCAGGAGTTCGAGCAGGTGGAGAACATCCATGAGATGGCGGCCAGACTCAAAGAGCTCGAGGGCATGAGAGCTGAGGACATTCGCAACGGTGAGGGCGACAGATCAGGGTCCCCGACTGAGGTCATGGATGTCGACTCCAACAGCGACCATGAGCATGTGAAGATGAGTCCATTGGAGGCCCTCAAGAAGTTGGTCGAGAACATGAAGGAGACGAAGAATGCAGAGACCCCGGTGGCAGGTGACCCCATCATGTGTGATGAGTATGAGATGGGGCGCTCTGAGGTGCAGAAGCTGAAGTTCCACGTTCCGGGCGAGCTCAAGATGAAATGGGAGAAAGGTTTCGCAGGTCTCGTGCTGGAACGAAAGTCGTCAATTATGGAGACCAAGTTCCTGGACGAGAAGACAAGAGCCCCACATGCAATCCAGGTCGACGAGGACGTGCAGCCCGAGATCAAGAAGGTTGAGGAGGCCTGGAAGATGGTGCCGAGTTTCAAGCTCGATGGAAGTCATCGGATGCCATGGTCCAAAGCCATGGAAACAGAAAGAGAAAGTGATGGAAGGGTGGAAGATCGTGATCGACGAGGCCAGGAAGTCGTGCAAGGCGGCAGGCATGCTCGATCAGACCCCTGAGTCAGTGCTCGAGGACATCTTTGCGACACTGCAAGTGAGGCTCAGTGCCATGATGATCTACATCAGGTGGGCGAGGGCCAAAGGTCTTCCACCCTTCCCAGTTGTCGAGGCCCAAGTGTACCAGTACGTTGACCAGCTTCGGAAAGATGGAGCTCCCGCCACTCGTGCAAATAGTTTCAGGAGTGCACTAGCCTTCTGCAAAGGGACCATACAGTTGGAGGGGGGTGGACGAGATCCTGCAGAGCGGTCGCATCACTGGTTCTGCGCACAGAAGTTACCTCACGAAGAGGGTATTGAGGCAGAGGGACGCGTTGACGGTGTCTCAAGTGTCGCTGCTTGAAATAGTCCTGGCAGGAGAAGGCTTCCCCCTCCAAGATCGAGTATTCGCTGGGCACTGCTTGCTATGTGTGTATGGTAGGTTGAGGTTCCAAGGTATTGACTCTGAGCCAACGGTCGATGGAGGGTACCTCGAAGGTGGTACAAGCATTCACAAGACAGACGCGCTGGTTGGCAGGGCAAGGAGAGTTCTCCCGGTGGTTGCACCGTGCCAAGGTGTGACAGGTGTCCAATGGGCGGAGGAGTTGCTCAAGCTGAGGAACATGTCTGGTTTGAGAGCGCTGCCGGGACGCCCGTTCCTACCAACACCAGTGCCTGGAGGTGGGTGGAGCCAGGCAAGGTTGTCGACGCCCGAGGCATCCATCTGGCTGTGTGAAATGCTGCAGAAGTATGCCATCTACCCCCAGAAGTTGGGGGATGTCGGTGCTCATTCCATGAAGGCGACGGCTCTGTCTTGGCTTGCAAAAGCCATGGCCCCAGAGAAAGTGCGAAGGTTGCTGGGGTACCATGTCAAGCCCAAGGACAAGAGTGTGGTGATCTACAGCAGGGACGCACTGGCCGAGGGACTAGACATCCTGACGAATGTGATCACAGACATTTACACAGGCAAGTTCAAGCCGGACGCGCCCCGGAACCAACGCTGGGTCAAGTCACCGGTTCTTCCAAGTGAGGAAGGTCAGGAAGTGGAGCCAGATGGCGACGACGTGCTGATCCCCGAAGGTCAGTGGGACATGCTCGAGGTGAAGTCTCCAGGCAAGCCGACGCACAGGTTGGTGGAGCTGGCCGAGGTGACAAGTGAGAGCAGTGAGGAAGAGTCGGAGGACCGCGAGAGTGAAGATGAGAGAAACCTCGAGGCAGTTGTCACAGCCAAACTCGGGCCACCAAAGAAAGCCACAGCAGAGTTGTACAGGCATGGTCTCACAGGTACTGTGCATAGTGGAAGTGTGATCCCGGGCAAGCTGGCATGTGGCAGAGTGATCTCCGCCGTCGTGGTGAAGTTGGACTATGAAGTCCATGCCTGGGGAAGTAAGTGTAAAGTGTGTGAAGGCTACACAAGGTGAAGGACGCACTGTCAGCGAGCAAAAAGTGAGCCAATGTGGCAACAAAGGATGGAGGACCGGATGTCGCAAGTGACCATCATAGACCGGCCAAGTGATGCATGGAGTACGCCGCAGGGAGTTGTTCCCAAGTGCATTTGACCTGACGCCGGGTAGTCCGGCCAGGTCAAGTGGAGCAGGGTGGTCCTGCAGAACGAAGTCAGGTGCAAAGGACTGCCGGGGCGAGCGACGCGCGATAGAAAGCAAGTGTGGGTAGGAATATGTGAAGTGAGAGAGTCATGGTAAAGGTATGTGTAGTAGAGAGTTGTGAGGTGCAGCAAGTGAATTGTGAGGTGGCGCGAATGCCGAAGTGACGTGAGGCCGAGCGTTAGTGGTGAAAACCCGAGCAGAGCCATGGCGACGTTGACCGAATCCCAAGCGGTCTTCGAGGCGAAGCTCAAGGACATGGGGCTCGAGGGCTACAAAGATGAGATGACACGCAGAGGTTGGACGACTATGAGCACCTTTGCATTTGCCAGCAGCTGGTCGCCTGGGTCAGGAGATGATCAGGCATTCATCCAGCAGGTGGCGCGGCCGCTGACTGGGGCAGGAGACCATGCAGATCTCCCGAAGTTGAGGAAGCTCTACCATGAGGCCTACACGATCGTGGCAGCTGAGCTCCGTAGCCGCCTGGAGGGGACCCAAGAAGCAGACGGGTCAAAGACCAGGAAGCTGCCACCGGTAGAGCGGAAGACGAGGTGGGCTCAACTGAAGGCGATGTATGGGCACCTTCAACTGTCAGACCAGTTGGAGCCAGCGCATCATGTCGTGGACAAGTTCCATTCGATGCGAGTTGAAGGCGAGCTGAAGTACCTGGCTCCGCACGAGATCCCCACAAGAGATCAGGAGTTGCAGAACGTGAAGACCGAGGAATTGATCAAGAAGGATGCATCCGGGCACTTGAGGGCCCATGATGAGACCAAGTTGCCGGAGGCAGACACCCGCACGGACCTGAGGTTGAGGCAAGCCTACACGAGGCGGGGACTGGCCTTGGAAGTTGCTGATGTCATGAGCTTCACCGCCCATGAGCGCCTGATCGACAAGATGTTCCAGGAGTATCAGCGGGAGGCACCAATGGGCTACATGGCGGTGACGCTGGCCCAGGTGGCAGCAGCAGATCGCAGGGCATGGAAGCTGATGTCAGAAGAACTTCAAGGAGACCTCGGCAGAGATGCCACAGGAAGGCGCTTGGCAGATGCCGCCATTGACCGGGTGATAGCAAACAAGGCGTTCATGACCCTGTTGCTGCCATTGCCGGGCAGTAAGAGCAGCGCAGGGAAGGACGAGGCACCGCATGCGGCAGAGCAATCAGCGCCGGGGGCCGGGAAGCGGAAGCTGATGAAGGAGAACCTCAAGCTGAAAGAGAGGCTGCGTGAGGCGGAGACCAAGAAGACGAAGGCAGCGCTGGCCGATGCAGGGCCAAGCAAGGCAGTGGCACCAAAGAAAATGCCCATTAAGATGCCGAAAGAGCTTTGGGGGTTGTCCCCGATGAAGCACGGAGAGCGCATTTGCTATGGCTACCACCTGGGCAACTGCAACAGCGGCAAAGACGGAAAGTGCTCGAAGGGATTGCATACCTGCATGAAGTGCTGGAAGCAAGGCCATGGCGCCATGCAGTGCACCCAGTGACCTGCAGATGCGGGCGAGGCGCCGACAGTGGCGTGCGACACGCCCGCGGGAGCACAGGAATCAGAGCCCATCAGGAGAGCTGAAGAGGGCTCCGCCCCATGTACAGAAACTTTTCAAGAACCCGGGAGCAATCCCGGCAGGCTGAGTGAAAACGCAGCGGGCGTTGTGCCACGCACGTTTGAATTGTTTGCCGGGTCATGCAAGTTAAGTAAGTGTTTGAAAGCTCATGGTTTTGCAGCCGTAGGCGTAGACCATAAGAAGTGCAAGAACAGAGTTGGACCTCGTATAGTTTTAGACTTGTCACGTAGCAATAGTGCAGACTTTATTGAGGCTAAAGTGGATGAAGGAGACGTGTTCTTCATACCTATGGCACCGCCATGTGGTACGGCGTCACGTGCAAGAGACAAACCAATACCCGCCTGGCTCCGGCGGCAAGGAGTTCCATCGCCACCACCGCTGAGGAGCGCGCAGTACCCCAGTGGGCTTCCAGACCTACACGGAACGGACCTGACTAGGGTGGAGTTAGCAAACGCATGCTATGCCACAGCAGCACGAGTTTTCAAGTACGGTCACCTCAAGGGAGTCTACGTGTTCATCGAGAATCCAACCAATAGTTATATGTGGATGGTTCCATGCATTGCGGAGTTGTTCCAGCTTGCAGGTGTGTACTTTACCACATTCCAAGTGTGTATGCACGGAGGAGAGAGGGACAAGAAGACCTCACTCCTCCACAATTGCAAGCAACTGTGTCAGTTGGGAGTGCTGTGCGACAAACATCACACGCACAAAGGGTGGTCCGTCAGCAAGACACTCAACGGAAAGTGGCAGTACGACACAGCTAGTGAGGCAGAATACCCGTTGTTGCTATGCCAACGCATTGCAGCCATCATCAGTAGGAGTGCATGTGACCGACAACTACCAGTCCATCCTGAGCCTCGGTCCACCCCGCTTGCCCACCACCAGGCATCCACCACCTGCAAATTGGCAGCCGGCAAGCAGCCTAAGGGGCGACGTGCCCCGCCGATGTTGCCGGAGGATGGACAAGTGGACATCATCGTGGACAAACCCCGTGATGTAGCCAAAGTGTTGGCCCGGAGTGGCCGATCCAAAGCCGCGGTCGCCCTCGCCGACCGAGTTTTCCCCGAAGGCACCAGAATTGTTCATCATTTACCGTCCAATGAGGGGGAAGACCACGGGGACGGGGCAAGCAGGTCAGTAATTTTTGGCATTCCCATGACACCGATGGAGGCAGTCCGGAGAGCCCAGCAGCTGCAACACCCGTTTGACACAGCATTCCAGACGCCAGACCACGTCATCGACAGCATGTTTCAAGTGTTGACCAAAGGCACCCAAGAAGTGCATGAAGAGAGAGTTCGTAGGTTGAAGTGGTTGAAACAGAGGGTGCAAGAACTCGAAACACAAGAGCAAGAGCTTCACGCCAACATGGAAACTAAAGTTGCTGAAGTGCTGGCACCCAAGAAACTGCTTGCGCTAGCCAAGCTCATCCAGACAGTTGGTTATGGGGATGCTCACCTGGTTGAGGACATGTGTCAAGGCATGAGGATCACAGGTGAAGGCAGAGTCACCGGCTGTTTTGCACCCGAATGCAAGCCGCCAATGCTCGACAGGGAAGACCTATGGCGAGCGGCAAAGTCAGCCCAGCAGGAGGTGGCCACCAGAGTCCCAAGACACATGCAGGGCAGGCAGGCGAGTGTCGCAGGAAGCCAAGTCAGTGTTGCGCATGAGGTGTGGGAGGCAACCCTGAAAGAGGCGGAGAGGGGATGGTTGTCAGGACCCTTCACTGCAGGCCAGGTGACCGAAGAAGTTGGCCCACTATCGACACCAAGTAGGAGGTTCGGTATAGTGCAGGGAGCCAAGGTGAGGAACATAGACGACCTCAGCGAGTTCGCGGTCAATCAGTGCTACGGCCCAGGTGAAAAGTTGGACCTTGGCGGAGTTGACGAGGTAGTCTCGTTGGCAGCCGCATGGATGAGGACGTTTGGGGGTGCGAATGACCAAGTCAGGGTCGAGTTGTCCACGGGGTTGGTGCTGGAGGGGCAAAAGGGTGAGGAGTTCAGAGGCAAAGAGCTGCAGCTTAGTGGTAGGTGCCTTGACCTCAAGGCTGCGTACAAGCAACTGCCATTATCCCCAACCGACTGGAACTGTGCAGTCATTGCAGTCTTAGACCCCCAAAGCAATGAAGTGAGGTACTTTATCTCTTACGTGCTCCCGTTTGGAGCGACGGGGTCTGTGATGGCCTTCAATCGGGCAGCCAGGGCGCTGAAAGAGGTGCTGCAGAGGTTCTTATTGATCCCAGTGATCAACTACTTCGATGACTTCCCGCATGTCGACCTAGAGGTGATGGTAGTGAGGACTCAGGTGGTCATGGAAGAGGCCATGCGCACCTTGGGCTGGGGCATTGCAGAGGAGGCCAAGAAGAGGATCCCGCCGGCTAGGAAGTTTGTAGTCTTGGGTGTGGTGGTAGACTTGAGTCAATCCAGTGAGAGTGGTGATAGTACGTAACAAAGAGGACAGAGTGCAAGAGTTGGAAGCCACCATAGAGGAGATGGAAGCCGTCCAGTCCTTCCCAGCAGCCACGGCAGCTAAGGTGTATGGCAGATTGAACTTTGCAGAGGCACAGTGCAGTGGGAGGTGGTTGGCGCCCCTCATGGGCCCCGTGAAGCAGAGGGCCCTGATGAGTAGAAGTGTTAGAGGGGTGACAAGTGAGATTCGCAAAGCACTCAGGTTGTCAGCCGATCTGTTGAGGACTGCTCCCCCGAGACGATTGGAGGCGGTGAACAAGGAGACGCCGTGCCTGATCTTCACGGATGGTGCGTATGAAGGGGGGCACTGCCTCCTGCGGTGCAGTGGTCCTGTCTCCACGGACAGAATCACCATTAGCCTTCGGGTTCAACATCCCCCCCAAAGATCGTTGATGAATGGCAAGGGTTTGGGCACGAGCATGTTATTGCACAGGCCGAAATGTTGCCCATAGTGATTATCAAGAGGCATTTCCCTCAACTCCTCAGAGGTGCGAGAGCGTTGTACTTCATTGACAACGAAGGTGTCAAGGAGGCGTTAGTGGCTGGAGTAACCAAGTCTGAGGCTTGTAGAAAGATGTTGATCGAGGCAATGCTTCAGGACGCTAGCAACAACAGCCTAAATTGGCACACCAGGGTACCATCCCCAAGTAACATCGCTGATGCACCCTCGAGGCTCCGATGGGATTTGCTAGACTCAATGCTCGACTATGTCAAGGTGGAGCTTGACCTGGACTACGAGAGATGGGGGCAAATTCGGGTAGTCTGACATAATTAAAAGTGATAAGTCTGGTCCAATAAGTTTGTTGTACAGAAGTGTAAGGAGTGAATTTTTCAGAGTTTTCCATACCAAATGAAATGGCAGCACAGCTGCACCGTACACGTCCCCAATGTGAGAAAAATAAGAGCTCCTGAGCGGATGAGACTTTCGTATGGTCGAAAAAGATTCGTAAAGACTCATATGTGGGGTTATCCGGTCCTTTCTTTGTTGGAACAAAACCTTGGAGGGACAGCCAGGGCATCCAAGAAATTGGCTCCGTTTCGTTTTTGGATCCAAGACGGTTGGTGCAGATCATTACCATACATAAATTGCTGGCCTGCCAGTTCCTCAAACTCAAAGCGACATTTGACTGTGAGATACTGTGGGCCAAAACTGCAGGACCTTGACCCCCAATAAGCACAGCAGTAGGACCAAAGAAAACCTTAGAAATGCATTCTACTTGCCATGTGGCTATGCCATGCTGGATTTCAAACACCACGGTTGCCAGTGAATCTAAATCTATATAGTGTTTTATTGACTAGTGTAACTCGATCAAAGAGCTGAGACAAATACTGAACTGAGTGGATAGGATAGGCAAAGAATCCCCGAGCACTTCAACAATTTGTTAATGATGATCAGGTTGGGAGATGTTCTGTGTGATGTCAGGAATGGATTCTCATTGCTCTCGAATGCTTGCTGGCACTCATCCTAGTCGTCTTCGGTGTCCGATCATCATTGCTGAAGATCATAGAGACATGGTCCACCTACGGAGCTCCTTTTGACTGCCATTGCAACCTGGTGGGCAAACCGGTGGGTTTCATATCCAACCAGTGGGTTTCGTTATGGGGGGGGGGTTGGGGTTTTCTCTCCCTGGTGGCTCCACGGCTCTGAGGTGAGGGGCTTTGGGAGACATGTGGCTGTTCAGCCGAACACGCAGGCATGGCCACACAGTGTCCCGGAGTTTGATCCGTTCCACGTGCCTTGGTGTTTTTTGGGGCAGAGATGACAAGATCTGCGTGGACCTTCCTGTGTCACCTAGCTTGGGCCAAAGCAAAGTGCTGTTGGTTGGTCAATTGAGGAGTTATATATCGAACCAAGGTTTTCAAGCCCAAGATAGTTTTCCTAGCTTTGAGTTTTGATTTGTACAGTGCTTCTTCCATCCCCGCTGGGAGGTGTTCAAAGCAAACATCCTCAGTTTTGCTCGGCAAAGGCCGAAAGGCAGGTTGGCTCAGTTCAGGACTCACATGAGGCTGAAACCCTGCCGGAGTTGAGATTTGGGTCAAAGGCCCAGCTCTAGTTTTGACCCACCCTCACATGGTGGAGTCTATGGCTCTCGCAAGGTCTTCATTTGGTCCTCGGTCAAAATGAGAGAGCTCTCGTGTCCGTGTGTGGCAACCAACCGTTCGAAGCGTTCGTTTGAACCGCAGACGGCAACAATCTCCGCCGCAGCCGAGGACTTGAAGTTGGAGAACATTTGTTTCTGCGAGCAGTCGCCCACCAGCACTCATATCAAAGCGCCTCGTCTTTGGTGTAGTTTCAGCACAGGTGGGTGATTCTGCGATTGTAAAGTAAGGTCATGGACAGCACACTTACAGTTAGGACCTAGGATCACATTGGGTGGCGGTGCTGCTCTTCTCACGATACTGCCACAAAAGTTTCCTCAACACTCATTTTTGCCAAGGTTGCGAAGACATATATAAGCTGAACTGGTAGCTGGCAACTAGGTTTTGCTTCGTAGATCAGCTAATGAACCTTAACCTGGTTGGTGCATCGTCGCGGCTTGTGCATCGTCATTGCAGCCCAACTGTTGGCAGGGGGCTCCTGCAGCTGAAATAGGGAACACCAAGGTCTTGATGATGAAAATGTTGTTTTTAGGGTTCAGGATTTCCTCCATCAACACGAATTGCTTTCCACGTTTATGTCATCAGCAAAACTCCCCCTTTCCTTTTAGCGCCGCATGGACCAAAAGAATCAAACAGATTGTTTATCCGTCGGGATCTTGAGCAGCCTCCTTCAAATAGCTCCAAGACAAACGTCGGGATTTTGAAGGAGCAAAGGACCTGCAGGTTTTGAGTCCTGATGTCGTTTTTTCCAGTGGGCCCAGACATGCCCAAACACTTTGACCAGGTCATCGACTGGGGCTTGGCTGGAAGCTTCGAGCAGGGCCGCATGAAGAGCTCAGTCGGAACCTCCACCTACTCGGCTCCTGAGGCCGGAGTGACCGATGCAAAAGGGTAAGCCGCTTGCTGATAATTGGTGTTAAGAGACAGTGTTGGCCCGGGTTCACGTGCCTACTTTCCGACAGCAACCGTCCTTCTTCCAAAAGACGTCGTTGCCTGGGAGGTTGTTTGGAAGAGGCCGACAAGTGACAAGTCATGACATTCTGGGAGCAGTTCCCAGTGTGCAGCACAGGTTTTAGACCCGGAGGACGATGACGATGGCTACACGTGTGTTCGGACCTTACATAGTCTTACATAGTTCATGGCGGCGAGCGGATGAGCCCCAGCACAAAGTACCGCCGTTGTCGCTTTGACTTTAGCTATTTCTCAAAACCCTTGTGCATTCATGGCTGCAGTCTCCCCAAGCAGAAAGGAACGCCCACGATTGGCCAAAGCCGGATGGAAGGACATGGAAGGACAGGAAGGTAAGGCGGCATGCTCGGCAGCCCTTAGGTGGCTGGTTCAGAGTTGATGAAAAACTGCTCAAGGTCAATGAGCTGTTTGATAGAAGAGTGTTTCGTTATTTGTTAACACACCCGAGTCGCAATGAAAATGAACTTAGCACAGACATTAATTTTGGTGCGAGAATTTACTACTACTCATATACACCGATACCCCGTGCACAGAAAACACCAGCAGGTGGGTGTGTGTGTGTGTGTGTCAACCCCCGTATCCAGGGGCACTGAATTTTCATTGCGCAGTTTCCACGCAGGGGGACGGGACACCACTGGCATTTCCCGTCCAACGAAGAGGATGCCAGTAGGTGCTGATGCAGTGGGGGACGCCCCACTGTGTACTTGTTCCAAACTGTTGACCACGCTGTGACCCTAATCTTCCTTGGTTTGCTTCCATGGTGGTTTGCGCGATACTCCCCCAAACCTTTCTCTAGCTGATGAGCCGATTTCCACTGTTGTCCGGCTGCAGTCATGCAACAAACTTTGTTCAACATTCCAAGTGCGCTGACCCTTCCACCTTTCCGTTCCATCGCCATTTTTCCGGGGAATTGAGTTAACTGAAAACCAATGTCAGTATGTGACTCGCTCAGCCGTCCCACTTGGGTGCTGGGTGTGATCCTCCGCAAGGAGGCTGCTTTCACTCCGGAATTCGTGTAACAGACTTCACCGTTTCCACCATACATTGGGTTCTCTTAACTGATTTGGTCTCACCTTTGTATTCCCTGCACTTTACGCCGCCGGGCTTCACGGAATTCACGGAATCCACTTTCATGTTTGTGTTGCATGTGTTTCAGGATGTTCGCACCTCGCTTTCAATTTCAAGCGTGTACGGTACCACATTCTCAACCCTAACCATTTTATGACCAGGGACGTTCCAGTTCCAACTTCATTAAGTCGTTCGTGCATGCCGCCGCGCGTAATTCAGAGTCCACGCATGTCCGCCATCACTTTCAAGCAGGGGCTTCCTCTGTCTCCCAACCGCTCAATTTACCAAAAGCCGCACAGCCGACCGCCCTTCCTTCGCACCGGGGACATGTCAGTCTGACCGCTGTTAC